TAGTAAACAAGTATCCCTATTACCTCATGGTAAATGCCAATCCAGAAAGTGTTCATAGAGTCTGAAGACTTTATCCAAAACAAACCAAAAAAACTGATACCTGTCTGGCTTTTTAAAAAATGAAAAGTTACTTAGGTTAGATAAGAGAATATTCTAGGTATGGGAAGCAGCAAGTGCAATGTCTCTGAGAACTTCTGGAGAAAAAAATCATTCAGTAGGTTGGAAATATTAACTAAACAGGGTAGCAGAAACAGTTAAGACTGGAAAGGCAGGTAGGATCTATATGAGTGCTTTCCAAACTACATTTTGTTAAGGACCTGATTTTCTATTTCAATGTCACAGTCTGATATTTGTAGTCCATACTGTAATGAGACAAGGCCACTGATGTGGTTGACATCAGTAACAATTAATGACAATTAATTGCTTCTAAATGCTCACTTTCAATTTCAGTACTTATTTCATCAAAAACTAGAAACAAACAGTTCCTGAGCTAGACTGTGCTGGTCCATGAATCACACTTTGAGTAGTACTGAGCTATATCATAAAAGATTTTATTCTGTCATGAAGGCAATGTGGAGCCATTGAAGTATTTTTTATGATTTCCTTTTTAAAAATCATAGCTTTACCAGATGATTTACAATGCTAAGAGAAAGATACTATTATTCTCTCCATTTTCTGGTTTAAGAAAATGTGGTTCGTGAAGATTTCCTCACAATGATACACTGAGAAAAACTGGCAATTCATAACAGGCAAAGAATTAATTTCTCTGAAACATAAAAAGCTCCTGAGAATTAGTTAGGAAAATACCAAAGCTCAATAGAAAATGGGCAAAGAATAGACCATTCACAGATATAGCTACCAGTAGCCTTTATACATATGAAAATATGCTCAACTTTACTAGTAAGGAATACATATTTTAAACTAGAGACACTATCTAAAAGACTACCAAAAATCCAAAAGCTTGACAATTCACTCTGTTGGTGGGTTAGGAAAAAGCACCCTCATGGCATTATTAGTAGGAGTATAAATTAGTACACTCCTTTTGGAAAGCTTATATCCTTTGAAGCAGTCACTAAAGCCATTCACAAACAGCCTTCTTTGTATCTTTCAAGGTCTTTCATACTATTCACTTGAGTTAGATAGGGTTAGGAAGGTGCTTTGCAGAGTAAAGTGAACAAAAGTGATGTATGTAATTTCTGAGCAGAAGTTTTAAGAACCAGAGTGTAAGTTGCTATGTTTTCATTCACTTATTATCTTTGCTTTCCTTTTACCATTGTGACTGGCAATGTTCCTGATGCTGGTTGCTCCATTAGCCCCATCACAGAAGATAACTTAAAAGCAGAACTCTTTGACATGACATATAGCATGGGCAAACAACAAATCTTTATTTTTTTAAGTTATTGAAAATTGACTTGGAATTTAGCAATATGTATAGGGATTACAAATGCATATTCCCCTCAGATATATTTGTATACATGTGAAATGACACATAAAAGATTTCTCACTTCTAACATGGCTTATTATACCAAATGACTCAAAGTGACCAAATGAAATCCAACAGAGGATTAGTTAAATAAACATTTACATAATTATTCTGCTATAAAAAATGAAAAAAATTCTCTTAGAGCTGATATGGAAGTGATAAAGGAAAAGATGGTCTCGGTGTGTATAATATACCACTCTTTATATAAAAGGAAAATAGAAGATGTTAATATTTACTTATGCTTGCCAAATAAATTCTATGATAAATAAGAAACTAACTACCAAGGGGTAACATAGGCAGAACTTCAATTACTCATGGGGAAAAAAAAATCTTTGGTGCTACGTTTACTTCACTCTGTCACAATCTCAACCAATCTGGCAGAAAATCTCATGTTAAGTATAAATGGTGCACTCTAAACTCTGGTTTATCTTTCTCCTCTTAAATAATCAACTTCCAGTTACTCTACCCATGTTCTGAATATCTTCACTGCTGTTTTCCTATTCAGGTTTACAGCAATGGTTGTTACTCTTAGAGAAACCATGCCTTTTCTTTAGATAATTCCAATGTTTAGCAAATGTTTTCAGCTATTCTTTGAGAGTCTCTGAATTATCTTATAACTTAAATTGTGACTGCTGCAATATATTCTTATTTTTTTCATTCAGAACTTTCCTTTTACATGAAAAAAAGTGATTTTATTTTCCTTTACAATAAGAATTGCAAGACTCTTACTTCTGAAAAAATTAGAAATAAAAAATTAGTAAGAAGATTGACTATAAACATTCAGCTTAAATGTTTACCTCATGTCAGTCTACATCAATGGACCCCTAGTATTTTTGATTAAACAGCCTTATTATTCATTTTAAAAATTATACACACATACAATTATATTAATGTATTAATTACATGAAAGCTAAAATGTGAAAAGCATAAAAGAAATAAACATTTTAAAAACTTTAAAGATTTATTAATGATAAAAAATAAGTTTTATAAGCAGGACATAGTGGTACACACCTACAATTATAGCACTCGGGCTGAGGTAGGATGATTGTGAGTTCTAGACCAACCTGGGCTATACAGTGAGACACTGTCTCAAAACTACATAGTTTTGAGACAGTGTCTCACTGTATATATATATATATATATATATATGCTGGAGACAGGGCTCAGGTGGCAGAATGCCTATCTAGCAAGCACAAAGCCCTGAGTTCAAACCCCAGTACCACCATATATGTATGAGACGGAGAAAGATGTTTATATATATTGAGTATATTGTAAGCATTTTTTATAGTCAAATTACAGGTGCTTATATGAAGCTAGAACAATTTAAGCATCAAAATAAGTGATATTAATAGATTACTGTTCATATCATAAAGTAGGAACCCATAAGTTCATACTAATTTAAATTACCAAGAGAAATAGAAAATCTCCACCTTCTGCTAACACTAATTAATGTAAAAAGGTTAATGAAAACAAAGTTGGTATTTGGCAACCATCCTTAGTGATGACGGCTTCAGACAAATCATCAATGATACTTCATCATTGATATCAAAGATATCAACAGTCTCAGAGGATCGCACAACAAAGCACTTACCAAATAAAAAGGTAAAAGGGGTGGCTTTAAAATGGAGAAACCCAGTTGATACAAACTTAACCAAATGATTAAGGCTAACATAAACAATAGGACAGGTTGATATGTACTTCCTGATGCCATGCACCGAAAAGAGCACAGCATGGGTTTTGTGATTTCCACCAAGAAAGCCTGGCCTGAATCTGAACATGAGGAAATACTGAATGAAACAGAAGAACATGCTACAAAATGAAAAGTCTATAGCATTAAAAACTGTGGAAGATGGAAAAGACTGAGGAACCATTCCAGAGTAAAGGAGATTAAAAAGTCACAATTATTAAATGCAACACGCCATCCTGGATTGGATTCCATATCAGAAAGGAGAGAGAGACCTTGTTAGGATGACTGGCAAAATTTGCATGGGATCCTAGTGATAGTGTTGTTAATGTTGTTTTCCTAATTTGGATGGTTATTTAGGAGAGGATATTTATTTTGGGGGCAATATAAGAATATTTAGAAGTGACAGAATACCATGTCTCCAACTTTCAAATGCTGAGAAAAAGATTGATCAGAATGGAGGGAGGGTGATGAAGCAAATGTGAATATCAACAACTGGTGCGTTGGGTGAGGGGGATATGGGAATCCTTTATACCACTGTTTTGCAATTTTTCCTTAAGTGTGAAATTATTTTAAAATAGGGCTGGTGACAAAAGACCAAAAATCGTATGTTCTCCCTCATATGCGGACATTAGATCAAGGGCAAACACAAGGGGATTGAACTTTGATTACAAGATAAAAGCGAGTGCAGTAAGACACCTAAAAAATTAGCTAGCATTTGTTGCCCTCAACGCAGAGAAACTAAAGCAGATACCTTAAAAACAACTGAGGCCAATAGGAGAAGGGGACCAGGAACTAGAGAAAAGGTTAGATCAAAAAGAATTAACCTAGAAGGTAACACACATGCACAGGAAATTAATGTGAGTCAACTCCCTGTATAGCTATCCTTATCTCAACTAGCAAAAACCCTTGTTCCTTCCTATTATTGCTTATATTCTCTCTTCAACAAAATTAGAGATAAGGGCAAAATAGTTTCTGCCGGGTATGGGGTGGGGGGCGGGGCCGGAGTTGGTGGTAAGGGAGGGGGTGGGGGAAGCGGGGAGAAATGACCCAAGCATTGTATGCACATATGAATAATAAAAAAATAAAAATTAAAATAAATAAATAAATAAAATAGGGCTGGTGAAATGGCTCAAGTGATAGAGTGCCTGCCTGGCAAGTGTGAGGCTCAGAGTTCAAACCCCAGTATTGCCAAAAAAATGTGGGGGGGAGGGGGGATATGTTTACACATGTGAGCATGCTTGCATTTTTTAGTATCTGGCATGCTTTATACTAGTGACAGTCATCTGTCACTTAAAAACATCCCTTCTTCCTGAAGTTTGCTTATCTACTGACACACAGATAAGGACACATTTTGTTATAAGGAAACTGGAAACACTGAAAATGAAAAATATTTATTTTACTTTCTACATTGTTGTATATCTTAATGTTTTGATGCCTTGGGTCTTAAATTAGGGAATCCATAAAAATTTCTATACCCTACTTCTGTTCCTGTGTACATCAGCCAGCAGTACTTGAACTGACCTAAGAGGCCTTGAAATAGTGCCCTTCCCTAACCTCAACCTAAAATGGTTTCAAAGACATGACAGAACTGAAAATAAGCATATAACTGTACCTTCAAGTTTTCACCCACTAGGTCTATTTGATTTCCATTAATCAGCACAGAAAAAGCCAAGGCCACCTCCCATCTCTTAAGGTTCTAGTTTAACTGCCATGCATTCCCAGAAGCACACTGTAAGAAGATGACTAATCACTGATGGCTTCTCCGGCACCATATGTCTCCCAATTTCAAAGAAAAAACTGTCTCAACCATTATTGGAACAGATTTCCTACCTCCTGCAGCTGGAGTCGGACCTTGGTAACTGCTCGGATCCAGTGTGCTCTGGCTTGGGTAAATGGTGAAGACACATTCTCCTCAGGAAGACTTGTAACAAAGAAAAGAATTTCTTAAAAATAGCAAAGACCACAAGGTGACAGTACTCAAAGCAACAATGCAAAATATCTATAATAAAATGGTTTATACTCATGCCTACACTTGTTTAGTGATTCAGGCCACTAAAACAGCACAATTCTGAATACCTAATGCAAAAACAATTCTTCTCTAAAATGACAACTCCTTTTAGCTTTTTATCTGTTCTCACTCTCCCTTTTTTCACTTACCCAATGAGGCAGCTTACTAGGCAGGGAGAGGTCATAACCCTAGAAGCCAGGTAAGGGACCTGAGTCAATGTCAAGCATAGAAACCATGCAGAGAGGTGTGGAATAAGCCTTTCAACCTCTCTCATCTTACCTCTAGAGACCACCAGCCTCCAATGGGGGGAACAGTTGTATAGCTACATCAGGGCAGAATTTCATTCCTATGAACCCTTCCAGCTACACTATTTTGGAAGATTTACCAATTCCTAGATAAGAAAAATGCCAAGAAAAAAAAAATCACAGCTCTTTCCTGCCACGATCTTGTTTCTTGAGCTGCCTCAGTAAAATGAATAATAAATATAACAAAGTATGTTTGAGACAGAAACTCTACTTTGTATGAGAAAAGTCATCATCCAGGTTCTTAACTGAAATAGTGGTTAATTTTTGGTGTTAATGTTTCCCCTTTCTCCTTCTGGACTCTAAAGCCAAGGTAGTGAACAAATGTCTACTACCTGTGCATACAAAATATATGCCAGGCTCTGATGCCATCCAAATGAGTTGGTTGTTCTAAAACAATTGTAAGCATGTCTGGCCAAGTCAGAACTGGGTTTCATGTGCACTGCTAGGTCCCAAGAGGACACAATAGGAAGAGAAAAACAAGTACTCATGGTAGGCACTTCTGCTTCTTTATCAAGAGCTCAGTCCTGCTGGACACAGTGGCTCATGCCTGTAATTTTAGCTACAAGTGAGGCTGAAACCAGGAAGATTATGGTTTAAGGCTAACCCAGGCAAATAGTTTATGAGTCCCCCATCCCCAAACTAACCAGAGCAAAATGGACTGGAGGTGTGGTTCAAGCAGAACTTGTAAGTGTGAAGCCTTGAGTTCAAATTCTAGTCCCACCCAAAAAAAAAAAAAAGAAAGAAAAAAGAGCTCAGCCCTGACAACAGTATCTGCCAAGTTAAGGTCCAGAAAGAGCCAGCTTTTCAGTGGGAAGGGTGGACCAGAGTTCAGTCTTCTGACTATCTTATCTAGTACATACGCCAAATGAGATGACTAAAAGCCAAGAACAGAGCTGGGTGTGGTGGTGCGTGCCTGTAATCTCAGCCCTTGGGAAGTGGAGGCAAGAGGATTGTGAGTTTAAAGCCAGCCTGGGCTACATAATAAGACCTTGTCTCAAAAAAAAAAAAGGTTAAGGTAAAGAAAGCAAGTTGTATCATCAGAAAGGTATGTGATTCATACAATAATCCAGTGATGAAATAGAAACACCAACCATTCCCTACCCTTTACCATGTAATTAGCATTCACTGCTCTGGTCTTTCAGTGAGAAGCTTTATTATCAGATTTTTTTTATATTATTATTATTATTATACTGGGGGTACATGTGACATTTACAAAAGTTCTTACACCTTCTCCATCATTCTCCTTTATTCCCTCTCCCTATTTTCAGATCTTGATATTTGAGAATAAGTCATACCCAGTCCTTACCACTCTATTCTAGTGGTTTTCAACTGGAGATAATTTTGCTCCTGGGAGAAAATCTGGCAATGTCTAGAGATAGTTCTGGTTGTCACAACTGGGGATTACTACTGGGGATGCTACTAAAAACTGTTAATATATACAATAGCTCCCAGTAACAATGATCTGGTCGAAAAGGTCAATAGTATCAAGACTGAGAAACCTGCTATACTCCAACCTCTCAGCTATTCTAACCAATTTAGCTCAATTATAGTAACAGCCCTCAAACTCTTTACTAAGTTTCCTTATAAAACTATTAAAAGGACAAGGATTTTTTTGTTGTTTTAAGACAGGCTCTTGCTATATATAGCTCAGGTTGGACTCAAATTCATGATCCTTCTGTCACTTCCCAAGTGCTGAGATTACAGATGTATACATCATGCCTCGTAAAAAGATAAATTTAACAAATTTTTTTCTTACACATACAAATTGCCCAGCACACTGATAGGTTATGAGGAGGCAGATGAGTGAGTTAAATCTGTCTGCTAGGCTAAGTCTTTCTTAATTATATTCTATTTTTTTCTCAGCCAGGTAAAACAAAACAAAAAAGTGTTCACACACACACAAAAAAGCTTACATATTAATAAGCTGGGAAGTCAGACAAAGCAATAGGGTCATTACAGGGCTCAGGTTTGGTTACAGACTCAGAGGATGCCATATGTGAAGTCAGACTTAGCCAGACACTGGTGGCTCACACCTGTAATTCTAGCTGTTCAGGAGGCAGAGATCAGTGGCTCACGGTTTGAAGCCAGCCTGGGCAAATAGTTCGTGAGACCCTATCTTGAAAAAAACCCTTCATAAAAAAAGGGCTGATGGAGTGGCTCAAGGTGTAGACCCTGACTTCAAGAACCAGTACCACCCAAAAAAAAAAACCCAAATGTTCTTTAGAGGTCCCCCAAATATCATGGGCATTATACCAAAAATCAAAGGAAGCAGGACAGAGTTGAGTGTGGTTGTCTACACGGGAACAAAAAACGAAAAGCATTTATGTTCAGTAAGTGATACCACAGGGCAGGTACTAATGTATTCAGTGAGGTATTCATCACTTACCTTTCCTCACGGCCTACAATGTGGCCCTTGTGTAGCACCAGATCTGGGGGAGGATGGATCATGGCATCATCTTTCATCTTCTTGGATTCACATGTTCTCCCCTTTTCTGCTTCACCTGTCACCTCCAAAAATTTCTCTTGTTCTCCAAAACCAGCCTGGCCATCTCGGGATAGACTGCCAGAGCTGTGGCAGGAATGAATTGAGTCCCTCTCCCGACCGTCATCACCTTGTTCATGATACTGGTCTAGCTCACTCAGCTGAGAACTTCCTTGACTCACATTACAGGAGGAGCCATACCTGCTACTGCTGGTGGGGCTGTGAAAATGAGAGGAAGACAGATGAGTAAATAAATACAAACTAGAGACCATGGCACAAACATGAATAAATTCAGTAAATAATGATTACATAAGGGGCAATAATCACAAACAGGAAGTTTCTAGGAAAAGAGGACCAAATTTCACAATCTAGAAATATTAGTCTCTATTCAGCAGATCTACAACAGGATAAGACACAACACATTGGGTTTTCTAATAACACTTAACCTCAGCCCTATTCCTCATTTTCAAGGAAAAAAATATACATGTATGTATTTATGTATACATATATGCATATAAATATAAATATATATATATATATATTTGATACGGGGTACTGAACTCAGGACCTTGCACTTGTTAAGCAAGCATTCTACTACTTGAGTCACACCCCAGTAAGAATATTTTATATTAATGTGCTATTTGTGAGTAGGGTTAAGAAATATTAAATGCCCTATTGCTTATCCCTAAAATTCTTTATTCAGTCCTTTAAAGAAACTTGTCCAGTGGTTGTGATTAAAAGTTTCTAAATTCCACATAGTAAAATGCAATGAATGAACTCCAATCCCATTTTCTATTTAATAAACTGAAATCCTCATTTATTCTTTTACAATTGTAAATGTGTATGTCTGTGCCTTAGCAAAGGAGAGTAGACATGTTCCTTCAATTATCTCTCAGTTGTATACAGCATGAGGTGTGGAAGCCACTGGAAAATGGAGACCACAATCAAGAAATTTAACAGAGAAATGGTCTCACCAACATGAATGCTACAGTGATATCCCTGGCAGCAAAGGAAGTTTCCCAAAGATGAATTTGTCCATCTGTAGTTGAGTTTTTCTTAGGGAAAGGCTCAATTATGGATAAGGTAACCAAAGTCTAACGCTTCTGGATCAGTGCTTTTATCTCTGTACCTGAAATGAGGAGAGTCCCAACTCTCCCTCAATCGCCTGAACTCCCATGCACAGAAAGCAATGTTTCTCTGCTATAAGAGATAGCAATTGTAGCAGAAAGGTAACAGTGATAGTGGCAAGAAGGGCAGATTGCCCTCTCTTCTCCATTCCATGTTATATAAGGCAAAGAAAACCAGAGTGAGTAAGTCTCAGGCCTTGCTTTTCCTTTAAGCAAATGAGTTACATTTGACACTAGAGAGATGGGAGAGAATGAAAATACCCATACGTTAGCTCTTATCACTTAATCCTAATTAACATGAAGCTTGGGTGCTAAGAAAGACACAGGAAGGATAAAAAGCAAGCTATCATAATCTACCAGGAAGTCATTTGCATCATAAATGGTTAATTCCTTAAAATCATTTATGATACATGAGTTGAAAACAGGCCTTTTGTTGGTCATTGGTTCCTTGGCATCATTCAGAGTGAGCAGCTGCTGTACATTCGAAACAGAGTCAGTGCTAGCAGACACCACCTCCTCTTCTTGTTTTTCTTGCTGGTGAAGTAGCTCAGAGACAGTGCAGTGCTCTTCTTCAAGCTTTCCTGAAGGGCAGGCAGAGCCAAAGAGGTTGTCATTGGTACCCCAGTGTTCTCTGGATGCTGGTATTTCCGGTTGATTTCCTGAAAGCCCATGACCACGGACACTTGGCTTGGCTTTTAATTGTTCAGTAGTCCCAGAGGGCTGAGTATAGGCTTCAGCTGACTCAGCACTGGCCCCATCTACTTGAGAAGAATCCAAAGCTTTGTAAGCCTCACTGAGGTTAACATCCTGATCACTGCTGATAACCAAAACTGGAGGGGAGGATTCTGCAGGCATTTGTTCAGGGACACCTTTGTTCTCTTTTGGCCATGGAAATGAAAGATCCAGTTTCCTTCCAAATCCTAGTTTTGGATCACTTGCCAGCATACTCCCTTTTCCCTCACTACTTCCCTCAAATAGAGTTGACAACTTCTTAAAACTGCATATTAAACCAGTCTCTGCTGCTCTGCTGCCAGAGGGGGAAGGTGGGAAAAAGAAAGAGCTCAGTGTCTTTCCTTGGTCAGTAGTAGAGGATGGGAAGTGGGGCTTTGGCCAACTGGTCATGGTTGGGATCTCAAAACGAGGTCTTGACTGCTCTGTTTCCTGGGGGACAGCAGGTGGATATTTCTGGGCATGAAGTATTCCATCACTTTCTTTGGCACAAAGCACAGGTTCCTCTTGCAGAGGGTGAGAAAGGTACCCTGGGGTTCCCAGTGTGGTACCCTCACTGACACTTACTTCCTCAAACAGTACAGAACTGGTTTCTAGTGAATTGGATGCATGCAGTTCCAAGAAGTCTTGGTTTGTGAGGGCAGTCTGAATATCTGGCTCTGGCTCAAAAAATGGTGCTTGGCTTGGAGGAGGAAGTTCTTCAGCAATCAGTGCAGGGTCTGGATGCACCTGTGTCGACAGATCATGCTCTGCTTCCAATGACGCCTCTGTGTCTGTACCCTGCAATATCCCCATGTCTCCTTCGTCACTCAGAGATAATATTCCTTGCCCCATATCATCATCTGAGACAGAAGATGTAGCAACTGTCTCAAAACCTGGAGGTTCTGGAATAATTCCAAGAATAGTATTTTTTTCCATTTCAGTTGTTAGTTTAGGGTCATCTGTCACAGGGTCATCTGATTCTGACTTTGCACTAAACACAGTCATTCTATGGTCACTGAGAATAGAGTCTGAATTGAGTCCGGCAGAGACAACTTCTCTATGCAAACTTCCTGGAGGTACTGATGCTATAGCATCTCTGGAACAACCATTTTGAAGCCATGAAGTAGCTACAGATGATTCTTGTTTAGATGTCTCTGGTTTGGTACTTCTGAAAATTCCAAACAACTCACTTTTGAGGGGCTGAGATGATGCATTGGAAGAAAGAGAGAAAATGGAGTTTTTCTTTGGAGATTTAGGAGAGGAGAAAAGTCCAGAGAAAGTTTTAGGAGGTTCAATTAAACACCCAGAGAAAGATTTCACTTTGGTCACAAATCCTGAAAGCATTTCTACTTTAGACCCTAACACTGATTTGTCTTCCTCTTTAGCTGCATCACAGGGGTCTGGAAAGGCAACAACTGGCTCCAGGGTCTGTAGTGAGACCTCATCACAGGCCTCTTCTAATGGCAAGTTTAATGGGTCACTGATAAATCTTTCATTTTGGTGTTTGGTACAAGCATCTAAATCATTGAGCTTTCCATTCAAACAGTCATCATGAGAAAAAGACGTGGCCAGTGTGTCATTGGGAAAGGCTTTCTGATTGACAGCCTCTTCTTTATGGGGAGCTCTCCCAACAGTCTCTGGATCAATGAGGAATATTTCTGCCTGTGCCTGAAATTCTGGTGAAGAAGAAACAATGTCTTTTTGCAACTGATCCATTTGAAAATCGGAAGATATCTCTGGCTCATTACTGGAACTCAGTTTTCCCTGACTTTTCTCTACATTGAACTCATCTACAAGGAAGGTATTATCAGTGGTGCTACTAATGGAAATACAAGGAGCTATTTGCTGTTCATAAACTACTTCCTGGGCTATGATATCTCTGTGACCACTGAAAACTTCCTTAGTCATTGTGTCACTATTTTCTACAAAAACACTTGACTGCTTACAGGGCTGGGCAGTCACTGGAGCAACAGTTGCAACACTTTGTTTTCCCCAAGGAGTGTGCTGCTTTTCATCAAAAAAGGACAAGTTGAACAAACTAAAAGTAGAACTACTGTGAGAGGTATCCTTCTTGATGCTTGAGCTAGTAGTGGAAAAAAAGGAAGGAAGTGTGAATAGCCCTTCCGCTTGAGATTTGGCTCTTGGTAGAGTAGCAGAGGCTCTGTTCTCAGGATTTTCAGAGCTAGTCAAGAAAGAAAATATACTCTTTCTAGTTGGCAGTTCTGGTTGGGATGAAGATGTGTTGGTTGAAGAACTCCAGCCTTTGTCAGGAAAATTATATTGTTCACTAGGATTTCTTCTGTTCAGAGTCTCAAAAGATTGTTTATTACTTCCTAGAACTTCTGTCACTGTAGACATGCCACTAGTTTCTTTTGAAGTATCTCTAGGAGATTCTTTGAGACTACTTGTTAAGAAAGATGCATTTGTTGATTGTTGGATTAGAGGGGCTCTGAAAGGTAACTCTTTTTCATTCAAAACCAAACCCTGGATCTCTCTAGTTGATGGTTCCCTGGGCCCACTGTCATCAATAGTAGTCTGTTTTTTCAGACTTCTAATTCTAACCTTCCCTTTAGAGGAAACTGTGGCAGGGGGAAATTTCTCAGTACCCTGACTAGTTAGTTGTGTAAGATTAGAACTTGACCTGACCTCACCCTCATCAGTCACCGAAGAAACCGACATATTTTCAGTTTTATGTACAGGAGATATGTTGGTTTTAAAGAAATCCCCAATGGTACCAAAAAAATTTGAAACACCAGAAGTTTCTTTCTTTTCCTGAGATGATGTTTTTCCATTTTTATCATCATTCTTTACCAAGTTTGACAATTCTTCTTTATTCAGCTGGGTTTTAAAGAGGTTCAAAAATCCAGGTACCTGTTTTTCATTTGTCATTGTAGTTACTGAAGATTCTTCTTCTCGACCAAAGAGTTTCAATGCACTTTTAAGTAAAGTTCTCTCAGACTCTTTGGGAGTCTGGTCTTGGGAAAGCTCACAATTTTTGTGCTCATCCCTACTAAACTGTGGTGGGAGACGGTCTGGACTAGAGTCAGCTGTAATGATTTTACCATTTTCTACTGATTTAGTTTGAGGAATTGTTTGACTTAGCTGATAGCCAGATTTTAACAAACTTTGTTTTTTCACATGACTGCTTTTATTTAAGGGGAATTCTTGCCTTGTATTTTTAGTAAACTCTGGTTGACCCCCATCAGATATAATTTGTCTCTCTGAGTCTTGAAGATGATTTTCTTCCTCCTTTTGGGAGCTACTTTCTAATTGCTTACTCAAGACTAATGACTGACGACCATCATTTGTGAGCTCTACTAATTTTGATTGCTGATCCATTTTCTGCATGACTGAAGTCTCTAAAGATCCATTCTTATCAAA